CTAAGACTGTGGATGAGACTACCACACAGCAAAAGTCTCTTCTCAATAGATGAGATCCAAGGCTAAATGAGAAGGACCAGGACTAAGGGGAGAAGCAGATTATAAAACCTTGTTGGCCCCCAAGATATCTGTAAGGTTTCTTCCCCCATTCTCATCCAAAGATATCCTTTGAAGGGTGCGTTTGGCTGTAACATAACGCTGAGCTGTAACGTAACGCTGGGCATTAGAATACTTTCATTGAACAGTCAGGACCCCTTGCTCATGTACTGTAAGGCTATGCCTATGAAAGCAGGACTTATATCCTGTTCAGACTTTTGAAAAACGTATAACGAAATGTTACCGGTATACAAAATGTCACTTATGTATAGGAGTGTAAAGACTAAAAACAACATCTTACAAAGAAACGTATAAATAATGAATTTGTACAAGGTCAATTGATGGGACTGCTAGCCAATTGTCAGCGTAACTCTCATCGTAAACTCTGCCCAGTTATACATTTTTGTTGTACATTACAGGGTCCAGACTAGAGTGGGACCCTGATTCTCAAACATGCGATTAGTTAAGAAGAAGGGGATGAGCCAATGATTTTGTTATAAGAATAATAATTGTGTTCAGCAATAATGCTAGATGCTAGGATATTTTTGTACCCCTTTTTCCAAGTGATATACACACACACACACACATGAACTCACCCCACATATAAACGCAACCCACACTCAAACACACCCATACCCCAACCCACTTCCCCCACACTCTCACCCACCCCAACTCACACTCGCCCCAACCAACACTCACACCACCCCACACTCACACCACCCCATGCTCACATCCACCCCACACTCACACCCACCCAACACTCACACCCACCCCACACTCATATCTACCTCACACCCATCCCACACTCACACCCACACTCACCCCACCCCATGCTTACTCACCCCACCTCACACCCACCCCTACCCACACTCTCACCCACCCCTACCCACACTCTCACCCACCCCTACCCACACTCTCACCCACCCTACCCCACACTTACACCCACCCCACACTCAAAACCACCCCACACCCACAACCACCCAACACCACACTCACACCACACCCTACCCTACCCCACACTCACACCCACCCCACACTCACACCCACACCACACTCAACCCACCCCACATTTACATCCACCCACACACACACACATCCACCCCACACACTCCCACCCCACACATTAATAAGGACAGAAGTAAATGCAATGTAGGTGAAAGGAGAGAAGTAGAGTAATACAAGAGACAAGAAGAGGGGTAAAAGAAGAGACATAAGGGGGTAAAGAGAGATATTATTCCAGCTGACAGTCTTGATGACAGTATGATAGATGTCATCCTATTGTAGTCCTTGATTATGTATCGTTCAAAGTCCTATCCTCTCCGCCTCGCACGAATGTTGTCACCGCTCATTGTTCAAAAGACACTCCCGATTGAAACTTTGTGACTCATTTTCTTGGCACACATCATCCTAGTATAAAGCGCCATTCACACGGATGAAACATTGTCTGTTTTGAGCCAGGAGGGCGTTAACTTGGAATTATACACTGTTTAATAAAATAAGTAAGTATATTATGAGTTAATGCCCTTCTGGCGCCAAACAGATTACATTCTCTGGTGTGAATTGCACTACACTCTGTTCCCTCCACAAACTAAATGAATCTGAATAAGGAAAAAACCAAGAATCCAATCCTTGATGAAACCTGAGAGATTTCAAAGAAAATAAACTGTCTCTGTCTGGACTTAATGAATAAAGATTTCTAGATGTCGAATTTGAATTTTTGTTTGCTAACGTAAGACTTTAGATTCTTATGTTACCAAGTCAATTGATCAAACATGAATGAACTATTATGCATATATGTGGAGCACGAGGTGAAATATGTAGCGCATACTTGCCAAATATTTTTATGAAACAAAAATATTTGAAATAACATCTGTGCAGGTGCAAGTATGAATGTAAAGAGACTTGTTTGCTATCTTCTCAATGACATATTTGTTATGTTGTCTTGAAAAACATGGTCTTATTATATACTTGGAGGTGTGAGGAGACAAGAAGTTGCAAAACAAGAGTTATTTTTACCCTCATTGAAGGAAGTAAATGGACCACATTCCACACCATTTTGTCAGAAAATACCATGGAGAAGAGAGAGAGAGAAAGAGAGAGAGAGAGAGAGAGAGAGAGAGAGAGGAAGAAGGGGAGATATGGAGAGACAGAGGTAAGTAGAGAGGGACAGAGACATACGTACAGAGATAGGGGAGAAAGAAGTGGAAATGAGATAAAGAGAGTGGAAGTGAGAAGGAGCAGAAAAGACAGTACCTAGAAAGAGAGAGAGAGAGAGAGAGAGAGAGAAAGATAGGAAAGGGAGGGGAATAAGAAAAGAAACAAAATGAGACTGTTATTGCTGTTTTCGTCTGGCCACAAACTACCAATCATTATTCAATAGAAAGGAATTCATGAGCAAATTAACGAAATCATTTTTTTTCTCCAGGTACATAAAAAACACACTCTGATAAGGTCATCATGCTACGGAACCTTCTCAAAACACGAGGCAAAATAGCTGGAATGGGAGTCATTCCTAAAGAACGAGGGAAAAATTGGGGTTAGATTGGATAAACATGTTTTTCTCTCCGTTCCTTGAATTTTGAGACGTGTACCCTTGTTCTTTTGTTTTGTCCTGCACGCATGGAGATCAAACAAAGGACTGTGTGCGGTGTAAATACAAGATGTTGACTCGCGTCTTGTTTACACCATTTTGCAATGGGGTCTGCCCAAGACCCTGGAACGATAATATCGAAGAAGGAAGTTTTATTTTTCTTCCTCTTCTTTCCCGCCATAGCATGGGTCGCTTGCTCCTTCGAAAATAGACCATTTTAGTAATGCTATCAAATTTAATGCATAAATCTCTGTTAAGTGCCATTTTACAAATTATTTCATTCACCTGTTAAGAATGATTTTGTTCCAATAGTCAGAATGGGAATTGCGGACATTTTGTGTTGTTAGGTACTTGTAGGTCAAGCCAAAATGTTTGTCCTACCAAACAACACATAATGTATGCACTTGCATTCTGACTATTGAAATATACCGGTAGTTATTTATATAACAGGTGAATGAAATAATTTGAAACAAGGCACCTGGCAATGATTGTGCATTGGATTTTAATACATTACGAAGACGGCCTATTGCTCCGCTGTAATTTCTTTCACTAACCAAATTCCTAAATTCAAAACCGGATCCATCACTTTAGGAAAATATTTGAAGTTTGGTACGATATGGACCTAAATTATCATTAAAAAGTATAATTTTCTGAGAACAAGGGGAGTTATCAGTAACGTATGGGACAATTGATAGCTTGGACTTTTTCAAATATACAGGTATCACAACAACACGTTTGTAAACACATTAACCCTCAGTGCCCTGGACGGCAAATATGCCCTCCATTGTCAGTTTTGAATAACGAGGTACCGGGTTGAAAAATAGTTCCCCACCCTTCCCCCCAACTAGCTTTAGCCATGACAAAGTACAATTACTATGCATGTTTACACAGTAGATGTAAATTATACAGATGTCACATCAAAAGCTACAAGTAATTTATGTAAAGACCAATCAGTTATCACGTATCAAACACCTCACTATCAAATTGGCAACAATAAATCAGTGTAAATGTATTTTTTGATCTGAGCGAAAATGGCTTGTAGTTGTAGGTCAGATTTTGTTATGTTTGTTATTGGATTGAGGTAGACAAATATGGAAATCAGCAGAGTGTTAAATTGTGTTTTGATTGGTTTTTATTCAGGTTTTTACCAATCCAATTATGGGGTATGTTTTTCTCGGTCGACCCTCGGTAACGAAGGGGTGCTCCAAAAATGAGGAATGCAGAACAAACTCAACTGCTAGTCCCTCTGTCTCATATTTCTCTCCGTCTCTCTCCCTCTCTCTGTTTCTCTTTCTCTCTCGCTATGTCTCTCTTTCTATTTCCATCTCTCATTCTCTCTCTCTCTCTATCCTCTCTCACATCATTTGCACTCTATTCTCCCTCCTTCTCTGTAAGTCCCTTCTTCTTTTTCTTCCTCCTTCTTCCCTTTTCTCCTTCTTCTCCCTCACCCTCCCTTTTTTATAGGTTTTTTTTTCCTCTCTCTCTTTCTTTCTCTTTCTCTCTCTCTATCTCTTTCTCTCTTTCTCTCTTTCTCTCTCTCTCTCTTTCTCTCTTTCTCTTTTTCTCTCTTTGAAATATATTTGTGTTAGCTTGAGTGGATAAACCAATTTGGAATTAATAATACATATAACTCAAAAGTGAGACGAAACAGGAATTTAGCAAGTGCTTTGTTTGAGTAAGAGTTGGGATAAACATTTTAAGAGCTTGGTAAAGTGGATGATTAATGAAGGTTTAGACGATGATGAAGTGTGCACTTGATGTTTATAAATGACGCACCTTGCTTTATATGTCTGTGTATGCTTTGGGAAATTATGTTGGTACACTATCGGCGCGTCTTCATCATCCTCGAGATTGCCAACTAGCCCGCTATTTCTGATTTGGGAAATAATCCTGAAGTTACAAATCGTGTCTTCGAAACTTGAAGCTCGACCTTGAGAAATAAGCTCGAGATATTTTAATCAGCGTTCGCGCAAAGTGCGAGTCTTCGGTCTGGTGAAGACGCACAGGACAAATAGCTGGATATTTTGCAAACTATCCCAAGCTATCTTGAGATGACAATCCCGACCAAATATCCCGCTAATTGCTACTTCGGTCTAATGAAGACGCAAATTAGCTGGATAGTTTGCGATCGGGATAGTACAAATAGCTGGATTTTTGGCAATCTCGAGATAGTGAAGACAGGCCTATTGGACATATTTGATAAATGATTGTAAAATGCATTCCAGGAATTTTTTCTAGTTTGGCTCATTGACTTTCAATTTGGAACCATAAGAAATAAAGCAGTAAGAAATTGGATTCACTTTTTATTGTCCATATGGTCCATTTGGAATGTTAGTGGTACTTTAAAAGGAGGATTTATTTTCTAAGGAATGTTAATATATGAATCCCCAATTTGGAACCATAAGAAATAAAGGAGTAAGAAATTGGATTCATTTTTTTATTGTCCACACGGTCCGTTTGGAATGTTAGTGGTACTTTACTCAAAAGAAGGATTATTTTTTAAGGAATGTTAATATGTAAATCCCGAATTTGGGAACATGTTGATTTGTTCAGAATTACCTTTTCCATGAAAGGTATGACAATTTAGAGCCAATAATATTTTTCATTCCTAATTTTGTATCATAAATTATCATTGATTTTATGAGCCCATGTACATATATTTTCTATTTAGCCTGTACATCAGTCTTACAAAGAGATGTGATTGATCCAAATAAATCGCAAGTCCTCCAATCAATCGCAAGTTTGCAGTCTCCCATCTCTTATGTACATAGTTGCGATTGATATCAATTACGCAAATAAGTTGCGATTGATATCAACTCTTCGTAAGACGGGGTCCAGTTCACAAAATGAGTGGCAAAATATTCTTGCCATTTTCATTTGTAAGCGGTTTAATTTTATGAGTTACATGGAAGTATGAATATTAGTTCCTGTTAATCATTCTTTATTTTTCTTTCTCTCTCTTTTTGTTATTATTACAGGTGTTCAAGGCAACGGTGTGCCTGACACAGACTGTGGCTGCTTGCCGTACCAGTTCTCCTGCCCTCGCTTGTCAGACGACGGAGAGTGTATGTGTATCCCTCTCAAGTGGAGATGTGATCAGGATGATGACTGTGGGGATAACGGAGATGAGATAGATTGCGGTAAGATAACTCACATCTTCCAAATTGTACATATAATTAATATGAGACAGTACATATACTGCATTACAAAATGTTGGTTGCCGTCTTGTCACTATCTGTCTGTGTAGAATAGTACAGACTATAAAACAATAAATTATTTGAATTTGAATTATTTGAAAATTTGAATTTGACTATGAGATAGATTGTTTCATATGGCTTACATTTTACACAAATCTATAGATAATTTAATGGACCATTTTCGTAATGTAATCAAATTTAATGCACAAAATCTGTCTTTATTGTCTTGTTACAATCAAAATTATTGTATTTCAATAGTCAGAATACGAATTGCATATTAATTTGGTGCCAGGTATGACAAACATTATGGATTAGATAATTATGTGTCTAATTTAAGTCCATTTTAATTCACAATTCAATCTCGCAACAGTGGGCAATGTTTTGAATGTCAACATTTTTCTATGACTCCCAACTGTAATGTAGTTCACTTTACAATGTTTGGAGATACAGTATCCGTCCAAGAATATTTTTTAAGGTAAGACATATAACGAGGACAAAACAAAATTTAGCACTAAGCTTACATATATTTTGCAATGAACTGTGTTTATAATTCCCAAATGAATTATGATAAATACTAAAGTGAGCTCTTGGAACAGTAAGTTTTCTTTTCAAAGACATAGAAATCATTTTTTTGTAAAATTTGGCATGAAGTTGGACGTGAAATACCAACATATTCCACTGTTTTCTTTGTATATTCAGAGCGTCCTTCGTGCAAGGCGTCAGAGTTTAGCTGTGGGACTGGTCTCTGTATCCCATCAGAATGGGTGTGTGATGGAGATAACGACTGCAAAGATAATTCGGATGAAGCCGAATGCTGTAAGTGAACAACTTTTACAAAATCAAATCAAATCAAACTGTTTATTTTCCACAGTAAAAACAACCTATATCAAATCAATGGTGATTTAATTCACACGATTCAGCATAATATTGCATGGAAAATTTCTAACACTTATCAATATCAGATTTCAGGCTTGGACCCACCATTTTACCTTACCCTTACCCAAATCCTAGCCCTGACACTAAATCTAACCCTAACCATAACCTGAAACCAAATTGCAACTTGACCCCAAACTTGAATGTACGTGTATGTCTTAGATGAAATGAAGCCCAGAATAAATGTCACCAGAGCAAATTCAAATCACCAAGTAAAGATTTTAATTTCTTTCTCTTTTGTGTTGCTTTAAAAAAAAAAAAATTCTTTCAATAATAATAATAATAATGATAATGGGTTCTTGTATAACGCTCATGTCAGTCAGATTTGGCCCTCCTGGCGCTCCCGGTTATTACCCTGGCTTTAGCACGGCTGCCATACGGCGCTCTAGCATTTCAAGGAATACATTCCTGTTCTGCCTTGATTCTGCTGTTATTTAATGAATAAAAATGAAAAGATGAAATTAATTTTTGTCTTCTATCTTTCTTGCAGCGAGAGTAGAGTGTGAAGGGGAGGACTTGTTCAGATGTAACAATGATCATTGCATCCGAAGTGCGTTCGTTTGTGACGGTGATAACGATTGCAAGGATGGTTCAGATGAAACTTGCCGTAAGTATACGTATATATGCAGAAAATAAACAATCGGAAAAGAGAACTTGAAAAAGATTTAAAGAAAATGGGTAGAAGTGCGTTTGTTTGTGACGGTGATAACGATTGCAAGGATGGCTCAGATGAAACTTGCCGTAAGTATGGCTGAAGATTATGAAATAATATACATAGAGAGACAATACCAGATCATACCACACTAATTTCTTTTTCACAGGGAGTCCAGATCGAGGGTTTTGTACGTGTTACCCCATCTCCAAGAAATTTGTGAAATTTAGGGATGGAGATTTTGAATTTGGGAGACACTGAAGCAGTATTGAGCCCTACGCATATCACAGACATTTGCAACAATAAAAAAGAAAAGAAAAATGGGATATGAAGCATTGGAGAAGTCAAAGCATGGTTTCATCTAGATATCTGTACTGGTTTGTCCTGAAATTAATTTGTCATAGTTTGCCTGAAAGTGTTATGGGTTTGACTGCATAAAGCTGTAAATAATTCAGTAAATATAGACTTTTTTGATAATCATAAATTAGGAATTCTCAGTCTAAACAAGCTGTAAAACTTCAAGATCCTGACCTGAAATTTATGCTTATAGTTACAACATGGTTTCAAACATTGATCAAATTTTTAAGGCATTGTTTTCTAAATTTACACATGTATATGTTTGTTCTCCTAATAGTTTATATTTATTTTGTTGTTTATTCAGTGAGAACTTGCAGGGATGATGAGTTTACCTGCGAGGGAGGAGGATGCATCGCTCGGGAGTGGAAGTGTGATGGTGACAGCGACTGCAGTGATGGTTCAGACGAGAAAAACTGCTGTAAGTAGTAGAAGAAGTAGCCTGCTTCCGAAACTTCTCAGCGTCCCATCTGCCCATATTCTGTAACATGTATTTTAGTGAAACAAAATATGAAGACACAGAGTCTAATTGAGAAAGGAAGACACCTTGGTCTACATTCTTTTCTTTTTTAAAGGTAATACAAAGTTTTGGTACGGGGTCATGAATTTGGTTCGAATAAACGAGAAAAACTGCTGTAAGTAGTACTAGAAGTAGGTGCCACTGAAACTTCTCATCATCCCTTTTGCCCATATTCTGTAACATGTGCATTTTAATGAAACATCATATGAAAGGAACACACTTTGGTCTACCTTCCTTTCTTAAACTTTACTTTAGACTTAGCAGAAACCCAGCGTCAGAATTAAATTTGATAGATTAGAAACACTTTGAGTTTAGCGTTACCCATTCTATGAAGAGACAGAGTTGCTAAACAATTTTAAAAGGACTCCTTTTCAGTCGGAGTACAGTGTAAGAATTAGAAGTACTTAAAGGTTGCTAGATGGGAAATAATCTTGATAATGTTCTCATCAAGTTTTTGGTTCCCAACACTCATTCAGTGGAATGACAGAATCATTGATAAAGTGAATGTTCTCTTGTTTTAGATGGGGAAAAGGAGGGCATTTATATGAAGAGGTTATAGATTATAGAAGAGTTATACATTGTATGTATATCACATCTCAGTGGTTTGACAATTATTTAGATATATACGTTACTTTTTATGTTTTGATGTGTTAACATTTTCCAGCCAACCTTGACATAGGTGCGTGTACACAAGGGCAGTTCACATGTAACACAGAATAATGAGGTAAAGATGTTCATGTATATATGAACATGTACATTCAGTTCACATTTGAGAAACAGAGGTTTGACAATCATATGAATGAACATTATTTTTTATGTTTCGATGTGTTCACATTTTCCAGCCATCGTTGACACAGGAGCGTGTACGCAGGGACAGTACACATGTAACACAGGCCAGTGTATCTTCATGAGTTACGTTTGTGACGGAGAGAGAGACTGTGATGATAACAGCGATGAAGATCATTGTGGTATGTAACAAACTTTTACTATCTCTTTCACAACATTTACTTAACATTTTGTGGTTTGACTCAATAAATTTTGATTGAGGGCCCTAAAAAAAACATACCAGATGCATACAAAGAAAGAGCAAAATAAATAGGTGCATATATTGTGTCCATTTTATTATATGACCTCACTGCGTTTGAATTTAAAAAAGGAGGGTAATCCTTAAAATCCTTAATTCGGCAACACATTGGGAGTTTGAAAAATATTGTTTTTGATCAAAATTTGCAATTTTTTCAACTTTTTGACAAAATTACCATTCATGTATACTGTTTTTGAATACATTGTATTTCATTTGAAAAAGAAAAGTGTTACTGTTGCCAATTTGAAGAACAAAATGTGATCAATTTAGCCCTTTAACAAATCTCAGTGCTCAAAGAGTTAATCCTGTAGCGTACAAACCATGTGGTGTCTGACAGGATCTTTATACGGGGTTAGGTGTTGATATTATGTCTTGGGTACTGGTTGATTGTAGTAAGTGTGTAACACGCAGTATGCCTGTAATTACCAAGCTCAGTCCATTCATAACCACCTTTTTGAACTTCCTCCAAAGCACTGCTTATCTTCATTCATGCATATATACACTGTCTTTGACAATAACATTCTTAATGAATAGTTTGTCATTCACAATGACATTCTGAATGAGTAAGGTGTTATTGACTAGTCTGCAGGCACAAACCCTTGTTCAAATTCAAGTTTATTTGTTTCCACTTGATCAAAAATATTATAATTGAAAATAATGTACATGTACATCATAATAATTATAATAAACATAAAATATAGGAACATAATGTACATGGTAATATTAATGACTAAAGATATGATCCTAAGTATGATAAATACATTGAAAACAGCTAATAAAATGGGGGATCTACTAAAAAGCAATGTATTATGTAGGTCTCAAGTATTGATTGTGTATATAAATTAGGATATCTGAATAAGCATAAGGTATTTACAAAAAGCACATATTTTATGACGGTTACTAAACATAGCTTGTCTGTCATAGTGTGTAACAGAGTGTCTGAACTAATGGAGACTATGCCAGCTGCACGGTCTAATACAGCCCATAGACTTTGTACTATAGCATCAATAGACAAAGCTAGGCTATGCCCCAGACTTGATAAAATCCTGTTTAAGTGTCAAATTAGAGTCTGCCTCCAGACTAGTCATTGACAATGACCTAGAGGATGTAAAGAGCTTTAAATCTGTCATGTAGCATACAAAAGAGTTAATACCCTGCTCAGCACCTAGGGATTGTGGGATAATCAGAAAGCTGATGCCTCTTCTGACTCCTTTTGTCATCTCTTTAAAATGAAAGCTTTCTTTTTTATCCTCCTTTTGTCCGTGTCTAGAAAGATAAGGCTGTTCTTAATAGTGTGTGAAATTTAAGCTGTTCAAATCTTAAGTTGAGATTTGAGCAAAGATGTTCTTACAGCTGCAGTACCTTCTTCTTCTTGGCTTGGCTTCCTCCAGTTTGGAGAACTGCAGTTGGTGCATACATTGAAAATACGCATACCTGTACATGTCCATGTTCTTGAGATAATAGGGACTTTTAGATTCGCACAACGACAACGTGGATTGCTACGATCGACGTCCTTTCAATGCACTGCCTTGAATGGACGTCACACGTATCAGTCCACGTAAATCTAAAAGTCCCTAATAGGAAAGCTGGTGCCTCTTCTATCCTCTTTTCGTCATCTCTTTAAGAGGGAAGTTCCCTTTTATTCACCCATTGTCCACGTCTTGAAAGATAAGGCTGTTTGTTCTTAATCTGGGTGAAATTTAAGCAGTTCAAATATTAAGTTGAGATTTGAGCAAAGATGTTCTTACAGCTGCAGTACCGTACATTGAAAATACACATACAGGTACATCTCCATGTTCTTGAGATAATATGGACTTTTAGATTTGCGTGGACTGATACATGTGACGTCCATTCAAGGCAGTGCATTAAAAGGACGTCGATCGTAGCAATCCCTATTGTCTTTGTGCGAATCTAAAAGTCCCTATTAGGAAAGCTGATGCCTCTTCTCTTTTTGTCATCTCTTTAAGAGGGGAGTTCCCTTTTATTCATCTATTGTCCATGTCTTGAAAGATAAGGCTGTTCTTAATCTGGATGAAATTTAAGCAGTTTAAATCTTAAGTTGATATTCGAGCAAAGAAGTTTGTACATTTACAGCGCTGAACATCAAACATACACATACATGCCCATGTACATTAATTTAAATCTGCATATCATATGTTCAGTATTATTCATGCTCGCATGTTTTCAGTAGTGTATAACTATACAGTATATATGTTGGAATCTGATATTCATTCATGCATATACATTTACACTTCATTGTACGTTTGTATGTTTATGAAGAAGTAACAATGACATGAACATGTCTATTTGAGCAAGGGTTTGCCATTTTCTTTCTTTGATACCATATATGTTTCATTGTGGGAGACATACATGTAAACTAGAAGCCCAAGATAGCTTCTACCAAGCTTATGATTAAGGGGACTATATCCTTCCCATTAAGAGTTTTCCATTCCATACTAAATTCTATGTGCTTACATTGTAACTCTATCAAGTTTTCTCCATTTTCCTTTCTTCTGATGCAGCTAACATCACGTGCAGAGACAACGAGTTCTTATGCGCTAACAACGTGTGCATCACAGCACAGTGGTACTGTGATGGCGACTACGATTGTGAGGACCAGTCAGATGAGCTGGATTGTCGTAAGTAAAGTGTTTTTCATTAGTATCTATGGTAACCAGTTTAAGGAATATTCTAAGCAATGAACAGTAATTGTCATGAATGTTTTTTTATATTTTTTAAAATTGAGAATAGACATTTCCCCATCTGTAGGCACGTGTTCCAGACTAACAAATCGTCTGTTCTAACACACTAAGCTTCCTCCTCAAAATGCACTCTATGATGATTTGAGTGGTTATCTCACAGATATATAACATACAGGCAATTTTTAGTATGCTACTATTTCATGATTGAGGATATTGCCTATTGATGAAAATATAATATAAAACCATTTGTAAAAAAAAATAAAATATTGTGATTGTACAGATTTGCAGAAATTTAATGCTGGAAAACATTCATTGTTACAGAAACAAGATACTTCAACAGTAATTGTGCCTTTGGGAAATTAATTAAATGGTTTGTGATTTTTATTTTCTTTACAGCGGTAACGACATGCCTTTCCAACCAGTTTCAGTGTGCATCAGGGCGCTGTATTACAGCAGCATGGGAGTGTGATGGGGAGAATGATTGTGGAGATAACAGTGATGAAGAATCTTGCAGTAAGTACCTCATCAATACCAGCTTGAGAAATATTGTTTTTTACCCTTAAGAGGATTTGTTTTCCTTTCAATTTCCTCATTTTTGCTTCCCTGTTTTTTTCCATCTCCCCCTTCTCTCTCTCTCTCTCTCTCTGTCTCTCACACACACACACACACACACACACAACCCCACATACCCTCCCACTCATTCTCTATTTTGTGTATCCCTATCGGATCTCTTACCCTATTTTCTTTCTCTTCCTTCTTTTTTTGCTCATTCTCATTCTTTTGCATCGTCTATATGTAGTCTCTATATACCTGTTTCTTTTCTTTCTAATTCTATAGATTTGGTACATATGGTAGACACTAATGTCCTTTGGCAAGGCATTGATCTACATTTGCCACTCCATACCCAGGAGAGAAATGGGGACCTGATAGGCTGATGAAAGCCTTTGCGATAGTAATTTCCATATTCCCTCACAGTGACCATATGGTAGGAATACTCCCCAGGGAGTAGAGATGGTGCACATTGTGTGTGAATGAATCCGTTGGCAGGGGTAATGATATCTGTAAAGCTCCTAGAGACAGTATTCAGTATGAAACTCTGTATAAATCCAGATTATTAGTATTACTCTTCTTATTGTACATTTCTCTCCCTTCCATCTACATGTATTTACACTTATTAATATCTGTCATTTCTTGCAGGACCTACCTTATGTAACGCAAACCAATTTCAGTGCAATAATGATCGTTGCATAGGGAACAGGAAGGTCTGTAACGGAAGAGACGATTGTGGTGATGGCAGTGATGAACTCGTTGAACCAGATGGTCCTTGCAGTAAGTCATATAACACTTTCTTTGATTATCAACAGGAGTTTATGAACAATTTAAATAAATATGACATTTTTATTTTCTTTAAATTGGCAACACAAAGACATATTTTTGTTTAAATATATACACAGGTTTTTGTATGGGCTTAAGAAATAATATTTTTGCCTCACAAATTGGCAACACTTAATTACAATTTAGGGATTTACTATAAATAAATGAATAGATCACTTTCTTAAACTTGGCAACAGCAGTATTTTTTTCTTTTACAACTTAATTAGATATACTAATGATATTTCATGAGAACTGGAGATTTTTTTTTGATGCTTGAAATCAGCAACATTACTAAATTTTTCTGAAATGCTAATTGCTTTGTTTGTCAAATTGATGACAATGTTTGGGATGCATTCAACTCTTGACAACATCATTGAATTGAATCAGTTTATTAAAAAAGCACCATGACATGAGGCTCAAGGCTGATATTGTCTGTTTTATACAGTAACCAGATATTTACATTATAACAATACAAACATCAAATGCAAAAGCAATATTACAATGGTAACATCGAACATTATTATTATATACAATTTAGAAATGTATCAAAGATCGCATCATCTTCATGATTCCATTATGATTTATATCTTGAATATTTTCTTCATAGATATTATTGATCCATCCTCATCCTGTCATTCTAATGATGGAGGATGTGAGCACACATGTACAGATGTCAGCTCCGGTGTTCGCTGCTCCTGCAGAGAGGGATACACATTGGATATGAACGGCAAGACTTGTAGAGGTAGGTAGCAGCAAAATTATGTATTTGTAAAATTGACATACACTGTAAGAATTCTTTGTTGGCATTATGGGATGTTTATTACTTTATATGTGTTTACTTTTTATACTAATTTCAAATTCATGTAGCTTCATATGATTTTGTTTACATATTTTGTCTTGTCACGTGTTACCATCTTTTATATATTTTTTAAGCATTCCATCGTGCATTCTTTCTCCTTATTAAAATCCTTGCAATGTCTTGTTCAAGAAAATTCATGTACAGGGACTGTCTTAGGCAGGTATCTAAACTTAAACATCTTTAACTTGAAAAACAAGTTGGAGAACTACCGAAGATGTTCCAAACCACAGTAGTGTAAAAGTAGAAACTAAAAAAAAAGAGACCGAAACTTTCATAAATTGTTAGATGGGGCCATTCTGCGTTTTAAAAGGAATTTTCATGATTTGCAAAACTCATATCAATCATCTTACAGATTGATCTTTTCATGAATTTTTTTCACATACAACTAAAGATTTGGCTGTACTTTTCTAATAATAATGGTAGTAATAGTTCTGATTAATATATAATGCCCTACCAGCTAACCAAACCAAAGCACCAGTTCAAATATTTTAATCTTGTGAAACTTGTAATATTCTTGTTTTCTGATCTAGATATCGATGAATGTCTTGTGGAAGGCATCTGCAGCCAGACGTGCACCAACACTCTCGGCTCCTTCCTGTGCACCTGTATCGAGGGCTACGAGCTCCGGCTCGACGGCAAGACCTGCAAGGCCCAGGGTCCAGAACCCTACCTCCTCTTTGCCAACCGCATCGACATCAGGCGGTTGGAACCGCTCCATTCGAGCTACACCCCGATTCTGCGAGGTCTGGAGAATGCCATCGCCCTCGACTACCATATTGAACAGCAATTGGTGTTCTGGTCCGATGTGAGCTTGGATAGCATCAAGAGGGCGTACCTCAATGGAACGGAGGTCATGGATGTCGTCTCAACAGGGTTAGAAAGTCCAGGTGAGATATAAACATGAGAAATTAGTGATCAGTAAGATTCATATTCCTTTACTGCTCCAGGTTTCTGTATAGCATTTAAATGCATTGTATATTCGTAACTTTCATAATTTATCATATTTCTCTTTACATTTACATGCATTTGTGCAAATGTTGTACACAGGAAGCCTTAATGTCCCCACACCCACGGTGAAACTCGCTTTTCTTGAAAACCCCAGACAGAATAGGGCTAAACCACCTTGCTGGAACTCTGGTACCATGTATGATTGATTATAAACTCTCTTGAGATCATTGGAAACAAATTTTATGAGACCATTTTGTTATGAAATCTATTTCTGATGTGTGTTTTCCAGGTGGTGTAGCAGTAGACTGGATAGGCAACAAGCTATTCTGGAGCGACTCTGGGACTTCTAAGATCGAGGTCTCCCACCTTGACGGGTCCTCTCGCTCTGTCCTCATCTGGGAAGGGCTGGAGAAACCTCGAGCTCTTGCATTACATCCTGTCAAAGGGTAAGATCATAGATTGATTGGTCTGTTGAGTGATTAATCGAATCATTGGTTAATTGACTGGTTAGTTGACTGATTGATTGATTGGGTGGGTGGGCGGGTGAGAGAGCGAGTGAGTGATTGAGTGAGCGAGTGTGTGAATGGGTGGGTGGGTAGGTGAGAGAGTGAGTATGTGTGTGAGTGAGTTAGTGAGTGAGTGAGGGAGTGAGTGGGTGGTTGGGTGAGTGAGTGAATGGGTGAGGGAGTGGGTAGGTGAGTGACTGAGTGAGCGAGTGAGTGAGGGTGGGAGTGAGTGTTTGAGTGAGAGTGAGTGAGTGTGTGTGAGTGTGTTTGTTTGTGTGTGTGAGTGGGTGGGTGAGTGAGTAAGAGTCAGTGAGTGAGTGAGTGAGTGAGTAATTGGGGGGGGGGGGTGGATGGGTAAGTGAGTGAGTGGGTGGGTGGTTGAGTGAGATTAATTGATTGCTTCGTAGCTTATTACATGTATGTATTGAGTATAAACACAACTTAATTTTCAACCAATCAGGTACACGTGTACATATGCATCTAGTGTTTGGTCTAGGGTTGGCTCAAAGAATTCAGCTATGTCATACAACCAGTGTAATCTATTTCTAATGTTATTTTAAACAGCACCATCTACTGGACAGACTGGGGAAGCCTGCCAAAGATAGAGAGGGCCAACATGGATGGATCGGGACGACAGGTGATCGCTGATACCATGCTCTTTTGGCCCAACGGTCTCACTCTGGACTACGCTACCGAGAAACTGTTCTGGGCCGACGCCAAGCATCATTCCATCGAGAGCGCTAATCTGGACGGGACCGGTCGGAAGATTGTCATCAATCAAGGTAGGAGAAACCTGAGATGAAAATTCAAAATTTATTATTCATGTTCATGTAATGGTTTGTTCTGAAATAGTTTGGTGAACACAAGACAAAATATTTTCATTCACAGTTGTTATTGCAATAACGGTGATGAAAATACATTGTATGTGTAAGCTCAAAAATGCTGAAAATGAGATGAAAACCAGAGGTTGTTAAAGCTCTTATTGCCTGTTGTGTCCTGAATGTCTTTGAAATTACCTCACTAGGAAACTATGAATTAGATGTGTACAGGAATGACACTGCTGAGTATGAGATAACTTATTGATATACCCAGGTGCTTATAGATTTATTTTTGTGTTTAGAAAATGTTATCTCAGAAGTTGTTATCATAGTTTTAAAAAGGAGACTCTCTAACAATGATTACATCGTCTTAGGGCCAAAATGACTTTAACTTTGTAAAAGTATGTGAGTTATTTCCCTTTTGGTTTAAGTCGCTTAGTTGTACTCCCATTCTCATGACTGAGGGTCAGGGGTCATGAATTTATACACCCATGCTGTTTTGGCTTACGAGCCAATTCTCAACATACTCATGTGCATGTACATTTATCGGTGCATATTTACCTGTAACGTATATCACTTACTCCTGATTCTAGGCCTGCCTCACCCATTTGCAATCACCCTGTTTGAGGACTACATCTACTGGACTGACTGGCATACAAAGAGCATCAACACAGCTAACAAGTTCACTGGGATGGATCTTACTATCATACAGGGACAGCTGCATTTCCCTATGGATATCCATACCTTCCATCCACAAAGACAACCGAATGGTAAGTTGAGAATTTCCATGAGAAGATTTGTTGATGGTTGTAAAGACGATATAAATGATGATGATGATGATTAATATAACAAAAGTTGAAATGTTGATGAGTATGAGTGTGGTATTGATAATGTTGGTGGTTATGTTCTTGATGATGATGATGATGATAATGGTGGTGATGATGATTAGATGATGAATGTGATGAGTGTTATGGTGATAATGATTGAGAGAACAAAAGTTAAAATGTTGGTGATTATGAGTGTGGTAGTGAATAGTGATAAAGGTGATGATGATAATGATGACAATGGTTGTGATGATGATGAATGTAATTATTGTAATGGTGATTGTGGTGGTGCAAGTGTTGGTGAAGAAGACGATGAGATGATGATGATGATGACCTGCTGCTGTTGCTGATAATGCATATGATAATAATGTGATATCAGTGGTGATAAGGAGGAAGAATTTGAAGATAATTGTGATGATAATTGTGAAGATATTTAAAATTGTGCCCTCAGTCAACAACTGCAGACCACGAAGCATTCAATCACTTTTTGTTTTCTTTCAACAGGGAGTAATCTTTGTTTGATGTCAACGTGTAGTCACCTATGTCTGCAGAGAGGAACAGAAGCGATTACATGTGGCTGTCCAACAGGCTTCAAGCTTATCAACAGGACACATTGTGCTGAAAGTAAGAAAAAATTGGTCTTACGATACATGCTCTGACCGCATTCAAAATCCTACACTAACTTTATTCCTTACTCAACCGTTGACCCTAACCCTAAAACTTCTGTTAATTGCAATTGCAACCCTAACTCTAACCCTCTGTCTTTGGAGTCTACTATGTCAGAGTATCATCAAATCAATCTGTTATGCGCCTTGCTGAAGGAGATTAGCAGAAATAAATAATGAATTTAAGTTATGTGAATGTCTTTTTTAGATCCCTTTTGCCTGGCACACAACAAATCAATCCTGAACAAATTGCCTTGTATAGATATCAGGGCTTCTGCAGTCATGAAAACTCTCAGAAAAGTTACTTATGAAATTAGAAAGCAGATTTCCAGGCCTGGATAAGTCGTGAACAATTGGAAAATTACCAAAAGTCATTGAAAAGTCATGAAAAATCAATATGAATCAAGGAAATATGCACGAACAGTGTGATAAAGAAAGATGAGTTCCACAACATTTTCATTGCAGTCACAGTTACCGCATCATATGTTTACTGGGCTAAATAATTATTGAGGATATTGTTACTTTTCTTTCCCCCATCCAGCTATTGAAAGCTACCAAAAATTCATAGAAAAGTCATGAAAAATATGAAAAATCAATATGAATCAAGGAAATATGCATGAAAAGTAATATGAAGAAACAAAATTCCACAACATTTCCATCACAGTCACAGTTACTGCATCATAAGTGTAGGGGGCTAAATAATTATCAACGATATTGTTACCTTTATGGAGAATAGAACAGATTTATAATTTGTGTGTTCGTTATAAGTTTTGGTTGGTAATTTTTAGACAGACAATGGTGCACTTAGAAACAACTGTATTAAGGGCTTATGAATGTTTGTATTATTATTATTTTCCAGCTATTGATAGCTACCTGCTGTTCAGCCGAGAGACCGACATCAGACGGATCTCCTTCGATACCGATGATGGCTCCGACGTCGTCCTGCCCCTGTCCGGTCTCAAGCAAGCGGTGGCGCTAGACTGGGATGATGAGGACGGAGGGTTCGTCTACTGGGGAGACGTGAGCACCAACAAGATAAACCGCGCTCGTTGGAACGGCTCGGACCAAGAAGTATGTTCCATTTTCTTTCTTTTCTGATTCATTTGGAAATATAGTGATACCCTTTTTTTCTGACATAGAGACAAATTTTATCAGTTCCAAGATGACCATTTTTTATTTAATTTCTAAAATCTTTCCTTTGTGAAAGCTCATGTTTTTTAAAAATGTAAATTTAATTTATGGCACGAGTTAATGTGGTATAATTTCACGATATATCCTTGAATATTTGACTATTTCTTTGATTTTGATATTTTTGTTGTTGAATATAACAGTCATCTTTGGCTCTTTTTCTGATGATTTTATTGCATATATACTATGTTAGGAATGAGCTGGGACTTTTTCATTTCTCTTTCAGACAAATTCATGTACATGTATTTTAACTTTTAAATATGATGAAAACTCTAAACCTCATGTGTATGCCACTTTTTCAAATGTTCAATTCTGTTCCATTGCATTCCAAGTAAATACCTCCTTCATATGGTAAGTCTAAGACTTGTTGCACGTGATATGCTTGCTGTTTTCATTTTGATTCCCAGTATATGTCGGAGCCTATGGCATGATGTCAAACTTAACTTTTGTTTTTATTTCTTGTTTGGGTTATGTTTCTTACACATTAATGCACTTTTGTTTGTGCCTGTGTGCTTGCACAATTGATGACACAGGGGGGGGGGGAGTATGTATTTGCGATAATTTTGTGATCATGTTTAACAAATTGGAGAGGAAAGGTGACACTTTTCCTTATTTTTTGGTACTATGCATTAATTTGCGCTCATTTTCAACTGATCGGAGAAGAATTTGTGTGATGAGCAGCACAAAATACACTAGTCCAAATACCTTGATATTTAGATGATAAGAAGAGCTTGATGACCTGTGCTAGTGTTTTTCAAGCATGTTTATCTTTATTTTTCAGTATATGAGCATGATATGCTTACACATATATGTAGGTGAAATGTATTTGCTTGGTGTAATTGAGAATGGATTTCTTCTATGAATGCAAGTCAGGCTTTTACATTGTTGAACAGAATGCCTGTGGCTCTATCATGCACGGGTCTCTTAATTGTAATGTACAACTAGCATCCTTCTAAACCTAGAATACTGGACCCTGTTTCACAAGATTTATTATCAATAACAAATGCTAAAATCCTATGACAAATTAGCTCTCAACCAATCAGATGCCATGATTTTGGTAGCTTATAACAGCTATTGTTAAACAGGGCTCTTGTTCCCATAACTTTTTTGGCTAACACCTTTTCTATGCAGTTTCAACGCCCTTCACGCATTGCTCCACAGCATGGATGTAGTACTGTAAAAATAGATATACTTGTGGTACTTAAATTTTTCGCGGATTTTGCACTAAGATCGGCAAGCCCGATGTTAGAACTCGCGAAAATATAAGCATGACTTCTTAGGCTTGTTTTGAACAGGCTGAGTTGTGTACAATGAAAATTTAAGAACCAGTGAATTTGTTTAATGAAAAATTAATCACGCGAAAATAAGAGCGTTTACAGTATATGGAGAACCTATACTGTGCATTTATATCTCCTATTCTGATGAGACTGGTAAGAGTAAACATTGATCCCTTCTCTTACAGGTCATCCTATCCCACAACATGGACAGCCCCGCCGGCCTTTCCATAGATTGGATCACCGGTAAAATCTACTGGGCTGAAGCGACCAATAACCGTATTGAGGTGGCAAACACAGATGGGTCAATGAGATCGGTTCTTGTTTGGGAGGGCCTGGACCGGCCTAGGGACATTATTGTGGATCCAATCTCAAGGTAGGCTACAAACACATACATGTATGCAACTTTGTGTCCATAATCTAGCTCTTGTCTCTCATTCTTTGATTTGAATAGATTATTTCATCTCTTTTTCTTATGTTAATTGAGAGCTTATTTGATGAAATAACCACCTGTCAGTGACCATGCCGGGAGGTCTAATCCCTCCTGGCCAAAGTAGTGCAGATAGGCTTTAAAGCAACTATTAACCATATTCAGTGCATGTGTCATACAAGCTATTAGGAAAAACTGTGATAACGCCATTACGAACGTGTAGATGGCGCACAGTTTTTCCTTCATAATCATTTTGCCTTCGGCGTAGACTAGAAGGGATGAGATTGACGGCAGCGAGAGTTTAACACGGCTTGCAAGATTTTCAACATGGATGTCGATTTTGACCCATAATTTCCTTAAAAGGGACCATTAAACGGATTATTTCAATCAAGTTAGTAAGTGGAACCGATCGATGTATTATAGCCTAGGCCTAATTTAAAATTGGATATGGACGAGGTAAAATGACATTTTGGGGGATTTTGGGGGCATAACAATACGGCCGTGGCAAGTTTGTCATGTTTGTGGGAGGGGCCTAGCGGCTAAAATCTAGCCGTAATATATTCAACATACGATGGTATAGGCGATCGTTCAGTCTCTATAACCGGAGGTCTAGTGGAGCCAGACGTAGTCTCAGTGGAACAACCGACGATTATAGAGACTGAAGCTTTCGGTCTAACAAGCTATCAGCTTATCAATACCTCCATGTCCATGGATGCATCTTTGTAAGTGCCTCTCTCTCTCTCTCTCCATCTCTCCCTTTCTCTTTTTTTTTCTCTCTCTCTCTCTTTCTCTCCCTCTGTCTTTCTCTCATACTTTTCCAGGATCTTCTGTGCTGTCTGTACTATTTTCCCTCCCTATCTCTCTTCTATATTTCCCTCTAGCCCTTTTGTTCTCTCTTCTCTCTTATTTCGAACTACCTTTTCATATATGTCATGTATGATTGTGGAATAGATTTAAGCGACTGTTAATTTTATTAATTTTTATATAGGTGTACACTTTTTTTTATAGAAAATTCGTTCACTATGTGATACATGTATGTCTTAATTCGATTTACTGGATAATTTTACTGTAGTTTATTTATGTTTGTGTAATTATTTATGTTTTAACGCAATGTACAAAATTCTGCAATTCAGCTATCTGGCTGCAAATGAATTTTCAATAAAACCATTGCCATAACCATTCGTTCTGCAGCCTGATGTACTGGACCGATTGGGGATCAGATCCCAAGATAGAGTGCTCAGGAATGGATGGATCTGAACGCAAGGTCCTGGTCTCCTATGGGCTGATCTGGCCCAATGGTCTAGTCCTGGACCGAGACCTACAGAGACTGTACTGGGCCGATGCTGGGACTAAGAGGATCGAGTTTAGCAATCTGGATGGGAGCTATAGAGAGGTAAGGAATTCCAATGAATGAATTTTTATCTCTAGCATTGACTATTAGAGATTATATACCTCTCTTTAGAAATCTAGCCATCTGATTGGTCAAAATTGGAGTCGTGATTTTAGCCATGCCCGCCTACCGGTCAATAATTTTTAAAACATGCCTGCATGCCCTTACTAGCTTGTACCTTGTTAATTATTGGCACATGCACCCTATCCTTATGACACACACTGCAACACAGTTCTGCAAGAATCTTTAAGAATGAAGGAAGCAGACGTACTGCATTGAAGAAGAAGAAGAAAGTGGAATTCGGAGGCCATCAGTTTATTTGAAACAATTAGGATTAATGTCGAATTTTCTTTTAGCTGAAGATTCATTGCCAATTCATTTGGCCGCACCATGCTGTCCTGCTTATGATTACATTGAGAATTGTACATATTAAGGATGAGAAAACTTCCAATAATAATAATTTAACAAAATATAAAAAAATGGTGCTTATAAAGCGCTGACCACCGAAGTCTCTAAGCGCTATAACAATCACAATACAATAATAAACAATTACATATTAAACACAACATATAAACTACAAATAAACCTACAAATCATGATGATGATGATGATGATGGTCCTGCTGCTGGTGATTGTGATGATTGGGGTGATGATGATGTTGATGAACGTGATAGTTACAGGGATGCCAATTTCAGGCAATAGAGTTATTTTCAGACCACAGTTTAGGCTTTTTTGTGTACAAAATAGCTCATTCTAGGTGATTTTCAGGCCCTCTGGTCAATTCTAACTGGCATCCCTGTAGTTAAAATGAAAAACATAATGTAACGACACTTTGAAAAGGGTGCTGAGGGTTAAAAAATGACATATATGTTTCATGACATTCAATTTTTTGCTTTCTCCTGTAGATCCTGATCAGTTTGAACGTCCCTCATCCGTTTGGCCTGGCCATTCATGATGACCATATCTACTGGACGGACTGGGAGACGAAGAGTGTGGAGAAGGCCAATAAGATGTCTGGTCTGAGGAGAGAAACGGTCAGAGCTGGTCTAGAGGACTTGATGGACGTTAAAGTCTTTCATCGCAATAGACCAACAAGTAAGCTTAAGCTGCTGGTCTGTAAAAAGTATATGTAGTCTCTCTCTCATTCTGTCACTCTATCTCTCTCTTTCTCTTTCTCTCACTCTATCTCTCTCTTTCTGTTTCTCTTTTTTCTTCTTCTTTCTCTTTCTTTTTATCTTTCTCTTTCAAAGTATATGTAGACTCTCTCTCATTCTGTCACTCTATCTCTCTCTCTCTCTCTTTCTCTTTTTTCTCTTCTTTTCCTCTTTCTCTTTCTTTTTCTCTTTCTCTTTCTCTTTCTCTTTCTCTTTCTTCTTCTCTTTCTCTTTCGCTTTCTTTTTTTCTTTCTCTTTCTCTTTCTCTTTCTCTTTCTCTATCTCCATCCCTTTCTCTGTCTCTTTCTCTTACTATCTCTCTCTCTCTTTCTCTATCTCTTTCTCTTACTCTCTCTCTTTATTTTTGTCTCATAATGTTAGTCCTACCAAGCAACAATCAACGTATGCAATTCACATTCTGATTATTAACATATAATTATTCATAACAAGTGAAATAAATAATTTGTAACAACGCACTCTAATAAAAAGATTTGTGCATTAAATGATTACATTACGAAAATGGCCTATTCACCCTAATTTTCTCTTCTACCCTATCAACTTTCTCATAGGAACCAGCCCATGCTATGTCAACAATGGAGGATGCAGTCATCTTTGTCTCCTCTCTCCGTCTCCTCCCGGTTACACCTGTGCCTGCCCTACCGGTATCATGCTCATGGACGATGGTCTGACATGTCGCCTAGGTAACCATGTCATCCAGATTCCCTTTCAATGACAAACTTTGGTTTAAATGTATTTAAATTGTATTTATTAATACAATTTATCATTGTAATCTATTTTATGTATCTTTAACATTCAGTTTTACATGTTTTCTTATTGTTGCAATTTGTATATATATTGTAATTTTACTTGCACTGTAGAAACATGTATAATTTAGTCTGTGACTGCCAGTTATGTTTTTAATAAACCTTGATTGAATTAAATTGAATTGAATTGAGTTGGATGATTTAAAGTATCTATATACATACTGCATACATGCCACCCATTCCTGCAATGTATTTTGGGGAAGGATACATATTCTTTGGCCTTCAGACTAATTTTTATGAACCTTGCATCTGAAAATAACTCAGTAGCATTAACAAAACTCTGTATTCCTTATTTTGATTTCAGAAGTTCTAAACATGTGCTGTAGAAGGCTAACCGATATGTGATTTAGGATGCTTTCTTCTTTCTGAATATTTAAAAAATGAAAAAAAAACAGATAATTGAAATGGTTAGACCTATTCAGGATCAGAAAGTCCTTTACACTATAAGGGATTTTACCCACATGATACAAATACTGTAAAATATAGAGAATTTTCACAGAATTAAATTCACAAATTGCCGTTGATTGCTGTTTTCCTGGCAAGAAACCTTTGGAAATTGTAAAATCTTCAGTTGTTTTGCTGTATGAAACTTTCATGAGACTAAACCACTCATAAAATTTGAGAATGTTTCCGACTTAGAAACAAAATATCTGTTAAACTTAACAATACCCCTCAAAGAAAATAATATAACATTGAAATTAAATTTTCTTTGTTGTATTCCTTTTCAGATCTGGATAAGTTCTTGGTGTTTGCTCATAAGACCGATATCCGAGTGGTATCCCTTGAGGCTCCGTACGCTGTGGATGTGGTGTTGCCAATTAAAGGAATCACTAATGTAGTAACGGTCGATGTAGATACAGTCCAACGTAAGTTGATTATGTTACCCTTTCAAGAGAGGAATCTTTTTCTAATGCTGAATTTATGACCTTTTCATCTTTAAATTGACAAAAATATATATATTTTCTTTGCTACATCGTTATAACTAAAAGTCTTCTATGAACCGAAAAATGGCGAAATTGCCAGTTTCTTTTGAAAACCAGTGATATGTCTAAATGATTTGTATAGGTTATATTCCATAAAATTGCCTTGCATCTTTCTAACAACCTCTATTGTTATCTATACAAAAAATTGGACCGTAGAATGCTTCGATGCACAAATGTTTAGTATTTGACATGTCTATTTTCATAATGATATCAAACTGTTCTAAATTGAACTTATCTTAATTTGTATAGACTGCCCCTATCTTGGCTTAAAACTGGCATGAAACGTAAATATGTAGCATTGTGATGTAGTCTCCTTGTGGTATGAACAAGTGATGAATTTGACCACTCCAAAATTTCATGAAGTTTTTTATGTTAGAGGTTTTACATGAGGACAACATGAATTTTCTGACCACAGGAAAGCTGTATTGGGCAGACAAGACAACTCACACCATCAAGCGGTCAAGCCTGAACGGTTTGGACGTGGAGGCAGTTTTCGACATGTGCCTGGACACTGTGGAAGGCATTACAGTGGACAGTGGTGGACAGAAGCTGTACTGGACAGACGCTGGGAGGAAGAGGATAGAGGTAGCTGATGTGAACGGGTCGAACAGGAAGGTCCTGGTGTGGAGGGATCTTGAAGAACCAAGAGGGATTGCTCTGCATACTAAGAGAAGGTAAGGAGAGAGGGCAAGAGAAATAGACACACAGACAGACTGACGAGTGTTACAGAGAGAGAGAGAGAGAGAGGAGGGAAGACAGACAGAGGATATCTAAGTAGACAGAGAGAGAGAGAGAGAGGAACAGAGAGAGAGAGATGGAGCGAGAGAGATACAGACAGCCAGACTGAGGAGTGGGACAGAGATAGAGAGATGCACACACACAGACAGAGAGGGAGAGAGGAACAGAGAGAGAGAGATGGAGCGAGAGAGATACAGACAGCCAGACTGAGGAGTGGGACAGAGATAGAGAGACGCACACCCACAGACAGAGAGGGAGTTAGAGGGGCAGACAGATATTAGACGGAGAGAGAGAGAGAGAGAGGCAGACAGTATAACGTGAAGGTCATAGAAGTTTTAATTGAGAAAGAGATAGAGAAGAAAGAAGAAGAGAAACATAAAAAACAAAATATAAGAAATGTATTTCCATAGAAAAAATTATATAAGAGATGAATACATATGAATAAAAGTGAGAGAGAGAGAAAGCATAGGATTGTCAAACATGAAATTGAAATCATTATTTGCATTAATAACCGATTCTGTCATAGTAAGGAGAAAGAGGGAAGCGCCTGCTTAATCCATTATTTGAATATAAATCTATTCTTTCATTTTGAAATTCAACATAAATTTTCTGTTATCTAAGTCTACTGTTATCTCTCGCTCACCACAGGTTCATGTTCTGGACAGACTGGGGTTCAATACCCCGCATCGAACGGGCAGGGATGGACGGTACTGGAAGGGAAGCTATCATCACTAGCAATCTGGAATGGCCCAACGGAGTCTCGGTCGATGAGTCAACTGATAGGGTGTTTTGGGTAGATGCAAGGACAGAGGTAAGCCAACAGAGTGGCAGTAGTTGCTTTTGTTGTAGTGGTAGTAGCAGTGATATAAGTAGTAGTAATAGTAGTAGTGGTAGTGGTAGCAGTGGTGGTTGTTGTGGTAGTGGTAGTGGTAGTGGTAGAGGTGATAATGGTACTATTAGTGGTAGTGGTATCAGTGGTTGTCGTGGTAGTAGTGGTAGTAGTAGTAGTAATGGTGTTGTTGGTTGCATTGGTTTGGTAGTAGTAGAGGTGGTAGTGGTAGAGGTAGGGGTAGTAGGAGGAAATCTATCATCAGTGGAATGGCCCAAAGGTATCTCGGTTTGTGAGTCGACCGATAGGGGTGTACTTGGTAGATGTGAGGACGGAGGTAAGCAAACTGCCCCCGGGACCCCAGCACATATCACTCAAGTAATTACTCCTTTTTGCCCTGGCAGCAATTTGTACCATTGCCCCGTAATTGTGACAAACCATTCACCAGTCGATATTCTCTTGGCTCTCCTTTACAGCGTCTGGAGTCCTGCTCCTTGGACGGCAGCTCCAGGAGACTGCTCGTCTACGATGGCGTCGATCATCCCTACGGTCTCACCGTCATGGACGACTACATCTACTGGACAGACTGGGACACCGGTGCTGTTCATAGAGCAGATAAGCAGGATGGGAGTGGGGCCATAGATCTCCTAGGTAACTTCGATAGTTTAATGGACATCAAGGCCGTAGACATCCAGAACAAAGGTCAGTCTCGTTTCTCTCACTTATCCCGAAATTTTTACATGTTTAAGAAGCAGTTGAAAACCGTATTTATTGAACTGTTTCTCCCACCTTCATACCATGTAAAGCATTGTGAAACCAATTCTCGCTACCCCAAATAGCGATTCTGCCGAGATCCGGGGAAAATCCTGAAAACGCGCATTGCATTATGGGATAGCTTTTCGACATTACAGCTTCCTGTGCAGGCGTTCGTGATCACAACCCTCTCTTTCACGGTAGAGTTTAACGGCCTTTTGTGCTAAAGTCACTAATTCTGCCCGAAGCTTTCCATTGCATATTATAATCTGTACAAATTACACTGATTGGCATCGATTTTAGCGTGCGTGAAAACTCTGCACAGCGAACACAGGCGCTAGCGCCAGCGGGATGGGACTCTATACCGGAAGTTGTAGTGACGACCCGAGAGAGTGAAAATTACCTCGTCTCGCGAATTTCGAGATTTTCGTACCTATTTAGGGTAGCGAGAATTGTGTGAGAGCGCTATTTAAATGAATATATTTTTATTATTATTATTAATCTTTTTTTATGCCTCCGTTACGAAGTAGCCGGAGGCATTATGTTTTCGGGTTGTCCGTCCGTCCGTCCGTCCGTACGTCCGTACGTCCGTACGTCCGTCCGTCCGTCCGTACGTCCCGTTCTCGTGATCGCGTTATCTGAAGAACCGATTGATGGATTCCTGCCAAACTTTGGTCATGTATGTTACTTGCAGAGCCGATGAACTGATTAGATTTTGGGGTCACGAGGTCAAAGGTCAAAGGTCACAGGGCTCATTATGTATGCAAAAACAGCTCGTGATCGCGTTATCTGAAGAACCGATTGATGGATTCCTGCCAAACTTTGGTCTTGTATGTATCTTGCAGAGCCGATGAACTGATTAGATTTTGGGGTCACAAGGTCAAAGGTCACAGGTCACAGGGCTCATTAGGTATGCAAAAAGAGCTCGTGATCGCATTATCTCAAGAACCGATCGATGGATTCCTGCCAAACTTTGGTCATGTATGTATCTTGCAGAGCCGATGAACTGAATAGATTTTGGGGTCACGAGGTCAAAGGTCAAAGGTCACAGGGCTCATTATGTATGCAAAAATAGCTTGTGATCGCATTCTCATTAGAACAGATTGATGGATTCCTGCCAAATTTCGATCATGTATGTATCTTGCAGAGCCAATGAACTGAGTAGATTCATGGGTCATGAGGTCAAAGGTCATGGGCTCATTATGTATCCAAAAATAACTTGTGAACGCATTCTCATTAGAACTGACAGATGGATTACTATTTAACTCAGGACATCTTGCAGAGCCAATGAACTGAGTAGATTTTAGGGTCATCAGGTCAAAGATCAAAGGGTCATATATGTATATGAGAAATTGCTTGTAATCACGATATTCTGAGAACCTCTTAATGGATTACAATTGAACTTGAATTTGAAAAATTTCTTCTGTTTTGGTTTGTAAAATTGCTCTATGACGGAGGCATCATTTTCGACTGCGCGCAGTCGAAGTTCCATCTAGTTTCTTTCTGTTATTTTCAGGAGAGAAAGTTTGTGGATCTGATAACGGTGGATGCAGTCATCTCTGTCTGCCTAATCCTCAAGGCTACTCCTGTGCCTGTCCGACTGGTATCATCATCAACCCTGACAACAAGTCATGCCCTGAGGGTAAGTACATGTCGTATGGGAACACTTATGATGATGATGATTTTATGATGATTGTGATGGTGGTGGTGGTGGTGGTGAGGATGATGGTATTGATGGTTTTATGTTGATGGTGATGTTGATGATAATTTTATGATGGTGACGATGATGATGGTGATGTTGATGATAATTTTATGATTATGACGGTGGTGATGATGATGATGATGATGATGATGATGTCATGATGATAATGATGGTGGTGGTGGTGGTGATGATGAGGATGGTGATGATAATTTTATGATGGTGATAATTTCATGATAGTGAAGATCATGATGATATTAATGAGGAGGAGGAGGAAGAGGAGGATACCGTAGATGATGATGGAGACACTATGAATACACCAACACCTGTACTCTCTATAACACCAACAAAAACCTTAATCACCAACCTTCCATCTCAATAACACCATTCGCCCTCTTCATTCTTCCTTCCCACAGTTCCCTCCACCTTCCTGCTGTTTGCCAACAGTCAGAGCATCCGTCGCATCTCCATGGATACGCCCGATCACACCGACGTCTCCCTGCCGTTTGAGAATCTAAAGAACGCTGTGGCGTTAGACTTTGATAGTATCGACAGAAAGATTTACTTCACCGATGTCTTTCTAGATGTCATTGGGTGAGAATCAAAGCTTTTACTCTGTAAAATTGCTTTAGAATTTTATTTTGTAATCCTTTAATTCAGACTTTATGCTTTTGTGACTTGTAAGAGAGAGCATTTATTTATTAAATAATTTCATATACTTCGATTGAAATGGAAATTCATCTTGTGATTGATTGAATGTGCTGAGAAGAATGCATAACATTTTGATATGTCCTATTAGAACACAAATACATGCTATTTTATGAACATGTCAAATTTTATGTAAATTGTATATTGAAAGTAATTTCAATTCCCTTTACAATTGTAATAACTGAATTCAAATTCAAAATATTTTCTAAGATATTTTCAAAATGTTTATCCTCCATAGAAAAATCATCATTTCACTTTTGATTTGAATACCTGTCATAATCCTGTAATACATTTCTGATATGAATGTAAACACCAACTTTGTATTCAGTTCCATTTTCAATTTCTATAACATTCATTTCAATACCTATTCCAATACAAGTTCAAATTAATAGTCAAATTCAAATTGATATTTTCATTTCAGTTGAATGTAAATTTTAGTTGTCTTTTCCTGTAATTCATTTCCAAATCCAATTACAATTTCCAATTTGAATATAAATTTAAGTTGTCTGTTCCTAGTAGTTCATTTCCAAATCCAATTCCAACTTTCCAATTTCCATTCTATTCCAACCTAGACGAGCTGATTATGACGGCAATAACATGGAGGTCGTCATCTCCGAGGGCCTCGAAACAACGGATGGAATCGCTGTGGATTGGATCGGTAGGAACCTGTACTGGACGGATACCGGTTTGAACCACATTGAAGTGGCTCGACTGGATGGAACCGCTCGTAAGGTTGTGGTGTCGTCGGGGCTTCAGGAACCGAGGGCCATTGCTCTGTTCCCATCCGCTGGGTAAGTTACCAGGTTTCACCAAGCCTTTTTTCAATGACAAGTGACAAAAAATCAATGACAAATCCGCTGATAACCAATCAGAAGCAAGGATTTCAGTAGCTTATAACAAAAACTGTCATTTGTCACTGATGACAAGTTTTGTGAAACACCCCCCAGTATTACAATAGAATTGAAAGCCCATGAGAAACCTCCAGTGGTCATCAGAGAATGTTATTATATCGAAGAAAGTCTAGATTTCTGCTGGGAGTTCGAGAAAATACTTTAAGATATTAAAAAAAATAATGATGCTCCGTACACAAAGAAATTGTTTTACAATTGTTTGCCCTTGGCGCTTTGTAAAGTTATGATTTCTTTTGACTTTGAAAAATATTATTGTTATATTTATATTGCATACATATTTATCCCAAGGGGTACTCAAGACATGTACAATGTTTTATTATTACCTTGGCATTAGCCACTGCCCTATAAAGGCACTCAAAGCATTCATGGAAATAACTTCCTACCTGTTACCCATTTGTACACCTGGGTGGAGAGTGGCAAATATAGACTAATGTCTTGCCATTGGACTCAAATTGGAAACCATGTGATCTTCAGACCAGTAACTTTAGCCAAACTGCCTTAAGGCGCTCTAAGCGTTGAAAGAATAATTCCTACCAGGTACCAATTCTACACCTGGCTGGAGATTGACATATGTAGATTAATGTTTGCCACATGATTTGAACTACTAACCATGTGATCCACTGTAACACCACCTTGGGTTGCAATTAGTAAATCTGATCTTAGTAAACTTTTAATCAGATTTTTTGATAAAATTATTACCTTTAGACCTACATGTACAAACAAATTAATGTTTTCTTAGAACTGGATGTATATAATCACGAACAATCATGAATTCTGCTCCAGAGTGTAACCGCTTCTCTCTCGTCTCTGAAATTCTTTTCATTCAGGTATATGTTCTGGAGTGACTGGGGCAACCATCCCAAGATAGAGAGGGCTCACTTCGACGGCACCGGACGACGCACCCTGATCAACACGGAGCTAGGCTGGCCCAACGGCCTGACCATAGACTACGCCATGCGCAGGCTGTACTGGGTGGACGCATACCTGGATAAGATCGAGACGGCGGATTTCAGCGGGAAGTTCAGGGTCGTTTTGACCAGTAACGTGACTACGCACTCCTTCGGTTTGACCATGGTGAGTTGTATGATATGGGTCTATGAGGGCATTGGTGTGTGAATGAGATTGTTAATGACACATCTGCTTTGATTTGCTCTTGTGGATCGCTTCTACCAATATACTATATATCAACATGTTCATGAGCATGGAAAATGGAGCAATATTTAAAATCATATCTTCACAACATTATCACCATTATTTCCTCAGGAAAGACTGTATAAGATATATGATGACAAAAAATGCAAACACCAAACTTGAAATAATCACCAACATAATTTTAATGTGATATTCACTAATTCCTTACAATTTAGTAAGATATGGAAGGTGTAGGCCTACTGTTGTGCTCATATACAGTGTATCTTCGTGGTCTTTTTATTCTAAGTACATGTGTGAACGTATATAAGTTCAAGGACATGCCCAACAATGCACTTATTGAAATTTGATTTGTAAGTTATGATGATATCTCCCTTTTCAATCGAAATGAAATATAGTTAGCTTAAATTGTACCAAGTCCTCATGCATGCAAATCTCTTAGGTTCACCCCTTTTAAGAAGATATTTTCAAGGTCTATTTAAGATTTTTTTCCCTATAAAATCATCTCTGTTTTTCTCTTCCAGTTTGGAGCACGTCTTTTCTGGACTGACTGGCAGACCAACACCATCGAGACGGTGGAGAAATCAACAGGCAAAGATGTGGTCACATTCCAGAGGAATCTAGATTCTCTCATGCACATCCAAATGGTCTCTCCTCTCAGACAGACTGGTAAATCTTCCTTTTCTTTACTGTAATACCATCAACTTTTGTGTGGCTGAAATATTCTAGAATCTCCCGAGTGGTTCAGATTCACCCTTGACCCGTGCTGCAAAATTATTGAATCATAATGGACACAACAGTAAATTTGTTCCTTTTTTTCAAAGTTTATTGCAAAGAAAAAAGCCATCCTTAACAATTTCCAAAAGTTTCTGGGTACTTTCATAAGCCCCATTGGAAACTTAAGCTCTTTTATCTTTGCCCAAATAAAGCTTGGAATATATAGTTAACAACTAAATTATTCATACCCCTTGTAAATATGATGTTTTTTTGTAACTCAAGAATTAAAGGTTAAAAGAGATTCGTCTAAAATAAATGTTATGTGTGAAAATTCAGTATAGATGATCGTCCTTTTATGAGATGTGACATGAGAAACCTCCCCTGTTTATAAATCCAGTCATTCATTTTTGTTGTCATCCTATTTACAGGTACAAATCCATGTGGTGTTGACAATGGAGGATGCAGCCATCTTTGTCTTGCCAGACCACAGGGCTATGTGTGTGCGTGCCCAGATGAGCCGGATGGTAGACCATGCTCGCTTAGTAAGTACAAACATTAACTCCTTCATTACAGGAATTGAGCTAAATTGATCTTCTTTTTCCCCTTCAAATTGGTAGCGATTCCTTTTGTTGTTACGTTCTATTACATTTATTTCATATATCTTACAACAATATTCATGGGCACAATCTATATCAAAACATTTAAGAATAGGCAACTTATAGACCAGACAGTGATTTTGGACCACTCTGTATGTTGCCAATTTAAAGATTTTACAGATCTTCTCTAACTTTTCTGTTAACTTTGTATAGAAAAAATTCACAATTCACAGAAAAATATAATCTATTTCTAGTGATAAGTTCTCTCTACAAGTAGATTTGAAAACGTCAATGTACATGTTAACAAAATTTCTTCAGAATTCGAACTTAGATAAGTGAAATTATATATCTTACACTAAAAAACACAAATTGTAAATCAGCATTTATAATTAGTCCTATTTTCTCTCTCTGTATAGCCCCTGGAGCCATCATTGTGAATGAGACTCCCAAACCATCTCCTAGTAGTACCACCACTGGACACCTACCAGGCCCCCTCGTCACCCAGCTACCGAGGCCCAGGGGTACAGACAAGCCCCCTAAAGGACCGGTGGTAATACCCCTCGATCCTGGCGATGACTCCTCACAGATGATGACTACTATTAAACAGATGAATACTGGTCTCCTTGGTGCACCTAATGGGTAAGAAAGATGGAAATGAGAAAACTTGTGATGATTGTTGTCTATTTAAGGAAGTCATAATCGATGAGACAACTACTGTAAAAGTAGAAATATTTGCAGTACATTAATTTTTGAGAATTTTGCGCTAAGATTGGCAAGCACAAATTTTAGAACTTGCAAAAATATAAGCATGTCTTCTTATATGTGTTTTGAACGGGCTGAATTGCATGCAACGCAAATTTCAGAACCAGCAAATATGTTTTGGGATGGCTCTGCGCGAAAAATTAATCACGGGAAAAATAACAGCATTTACAGTACTCAATTCAGTAAATTTTCACTTCACAAAGCCTAATGCTATATTGTTTTAAATTATAGAACCTTTTTGGAAGAGGCAACTCTAGAATTGCATCTAACCAAAATAAAATGTCATCCTTTTTCATTTGTATCATTTGTCTACTTTCTGTACAATGTTGTTCTTGAATTGTTTATTTCTGTGTGCATTGTATTTTCAAGAGATGTGAGATGAATGAATTTGAATTGGATTTGTCATACTTCCATTGGTTTTACAGGTGCAGTGAAGAAGATGAGGCGCTTGGTCTGTGTGAAGAGAGAGTGCAGGCTTCGAATAAAAACGGCTATCGTCTTCTCTATACCTACATCGTGGTGGGTGTTCTAGCCTTCGTCATCGCGACAGTCTTACTCATGCTGGTCATACTGTGGAGAAGAAGCAGGTAAGGACGATGGTGGTGGTGGTGGTGGTGGTGGTGGTGGTGGTGGGGGGAGGAGAGGAGGAGGAGGAGGAGGAGGAGGAGGAGGAGGAGGAGGAGGAGGAGGAGGAGGAGGAGGAGGAGGAGGAGGAGGAGGAGGAGGAGGAGGAGGAGGAGGAGGAGGAGGAGGAGGAGGAGGAGGAGGAGGAGGAGGAGGAGGAGGAGGAGGAGGAGGAGAAGGAGAAGAAGAAGAAGGAGAAGAAGAAGAAGAAGAAGAAGAAGAAGAAGAAGAAGGAGGAGAAGAAGGAGAAGAAGGAAGGAAGGAAGGAAGGAAGGAAGGAAGGAAGGAAGGAAGGAAGGAAGGAAGGAAGGAAGGAAGGAAGGAAGGAAGGAAGGAAGGAAGGAAGGAGGAGGAGGAGGAGGAGGAGGAGGAGGAGGAGGAGGAGGAGAAGAAGAAGAAGAAGAAGAAGAAGAAGAAGAAGAAGAAGAAGAAGAAGAAGAAGGAGACAGAGGAAAGTGATGATGATGAGGAAGAAGAGAAGAGAATGAGGAGGAAGAGGAGGATAATGATGATGATGATGAGGAGGAGAAGAATGACGATGATGAGGAGGAGAAAGTGAAGAATGATGAAGAGGAGGAGAGGAATGATGCTGAGGAGGAGGATGACAATTTTGATGATGGTGATCATGATGAGCAACAGGAGAAGGAGGAGGATAATGGTGGTAGTTGTAACGATAGTGATGTGTGTGATCATTATGATTTAACTATTTCCAAATTACGCACCTATCTATTCTCGATAAACAGTTTATATCACCCTTCCACTAGAGGACTCCATCTTTAATTATCATCCCTTTTTTGCCCTCTGCTTTTACTTTTCAGGAGAAGAAGAACTCGATGTCGCCTTGACAGTCGCAGTAACTTCTACAATCCTCATTATAATCACATGACCAATGAGGTCATGATTGAACCGAGGATAACCAGGGCATGGATCACACACTCTACACCGGTGAGTCAAGCTTATTATTACGTAATGCATTCAGGGAAAGAAATCAGTGAGTTGAAAGAACTGGCTTTTTATGCTCAAATTGGCAACACCGAGTTGTTTTTTCTTCCTACAAAGTGTTTTAAAGCATGTCTGCACTACTTGTAGCTACTTGCGCCCTCTACATAGCAAAGGATGCCCATGCGGTACCCGTTGGTCCCCCATGATCCCCTTTTTCTTATGTTAATTGAGAGCTGATTTGATGAGATAACCACGTGTCAGTGACCATGCAGGAAGTCTAATCCCTCTAGGCCAAACTAGTGCACACAGGCTTTAAATGTACATGGATGTCTGAAATGAATTTTCAATGAATAATACATAATGCAGCAGAAAATATGCCAGATTTTATGGGATAGAATTGGTTTTAATTTATGGCTTGCCAATAAGAAGACTATAGTGTTTATGTTCCCTTGAATATGAATGATACTTGCATTGGGCAAACTCTAATTTGAATTAATTATGTCTTTCCAATCTGTAGATTTAAAGTTCAGTTTCCTCGGGATGTTCTGTGTCTGCCTAAACTTGTCTGTACCTGTTCAATGATCATTGCCGTCAAGCTATTCTAAAGCATTTCTTTCTTGTTTCCTTTCTCAACCCAGGAACATACGCATAGCTCCAGTGGTAGCCTGCCCAACAAGCTCAACAACGAGGAGTTGGACAGAATGCTGCCCCCTCCTGTTGCGTACAGGGCAATGTCCTCATGTCAAGTGCCTTGTGCCGTGCCGTACGGTGCCACCGCGCCGTGCCACTACGACCCGAGGCCATGCGAGAAACCGAAAAATACAAACCTCAACGCTTGCAGCGGCGGGGCATTCTCGTCTTTTCGGGACTTCAAATTAACTGAGAACGAGCTGCATAAATTCACAGACAATTGTTGTGACTAGCAGCTCATCGATACAATACAGCAAGCTGCATGTTATGTGGACTACATCAAAACATTGATCAAACATTTGGCAGCTTGCTAGTGATATATTATTCAAACATTATTGTGCAGTATTCGAGGAATGCATTTCCTCCATATTTTATTTCAGCTTTGACAAGAGCAAGTTAGCTCTCTCATGTGCCTAGAACTCAGTGAAAACCCTGTGACAGAACTCTGAACTGAAGAGCATCATCGTCCAGATTGTGCAGAGAGGAATCTTCAATCTACAGCTTGTGCGATGCTGGTGTATTTTCTCTCTAAATTTGTCTCTTAAATCTCTTGGAACTTGGTGAAACTGAAAACCATGTGACAGAACTCTGAACTGAAGCATCATCATCCAGATTGTCCTGGGGGGGAATTTTCAATCTACAGCTTGTGCGATGCTGGTGTAGTTTCTCTCTAAATTTGTCTTCTAATTCTCTTGGAACTTGGTGAAAACCATGTGATAGAACTCTTAAACTCGAGCATTATCGTCCAGTTTGTGCAGAGAGGTATTTCAAATCTGCAACTTTTGTGATGCCAGAAGTATTTTCTCTTCGAATTGATCCATCCATCCATCGAAACGGAATGAGTTGCCATTTTGCTGCAGATAAGTGACGATAGATGTCCTCGACATTGCATATACTAAGTTGTCCACTTCAACAAAGACGATTCAGCAACATATGAGCTTTTATTTGGCTGGGAAACACATCCATGTTATCTAAGAACGCATGTACAGTATGCAAATGGTGTATCTACGGTTCCATGCAGAAAGGTATATCTCCAATTAAGTGCAAATTTAGTCTTTCCAATTATGTCTTAATGCATTTGATGGCTGCAAACTTTCTCCCTGAAAATGGCTATGTTGTATTCAAATTTTTGTAGCTTTTTTACACTTTGATACCTGTTTGAAATGAAAACAGTTCAACTGTTTAATTACGGCTTTGCAGTTTGTATCCAGTTGTTTTTTTATGATAGTTTGTATCAGAGAATACATAAACAGTGTATGCACATAAATCAAAAAGCCTTTGATTTAACCCCTGCTATGCACTTTTATGCATTTGTATTCACAAAGTTTCAACAATTGCTGTCAGAGAAATATGCAATTTTTATATTTTTTCATGATTATTGCATCTTTTATAAATATAGTATTACCACCCATATTGTAAATAGATCATGGACCATCGTTCATGTATATTTGATCAGCACATCACTGCCAATGAGTGCTTCAAATTCCTTTTTTCTTTTTGTGCTTACTTTTAATTATTTAAATGATAAAAGGTGAGCCCACGTTATCACTGCCAATGGTGTAACTTGTAAACTTTAAACAAGCAAAGCATCAGCATATGTTTTCAGATTATTGTGCGATTGTCCATTTTTGCCAGCATTGTTGAAAGAGGAGTATGTTTCATATAAAGAATAAACAGGTGTACATATATATCCTCATAAGCGATACTCTAGTGTACATAGACATTTGTATTAGCTTGTAAGGATTAGGTGTACTTAATTCTGTTGGCAAGACTTGTAATGAGATTGTTATCAGTCATCTGAGAATTTAGGAGTTGGAGAGCACACTGAGTTCATAAAAGAAAGGTTCTGTGCCCAGTCTGAGCTAGATACAGTTATCTTGATTGGTTTGTTTTGATGTGCAGACATTGCAGTTCCTCTTTGCAAGAGTTGTACAAAGATTGTTACCAATTATTTGAGGTGTTTGCAGTTTGGATAGTGCAGTGAACGTGTAAAACAAATGACATGTGCTCAGTCTGGGCTAAAATTATAATCTGTGTGACTAATAGAAAAAATAACCTGCTCTTTATATCATTTCCTTTTGAGGTTTTTGTAAAAAATAACCTCAAACAGAATTTTAACGAGAAGTTGGCATTTTACCAAGGAATCAATCAGAAATAGCTAGAAATGAACTTGGTTCATGCTTCCTAGTCAGAGATACAAGTACATCCTCATTTAAATCTAACCTAACAGTACCTGGTATGAAATTAAAATATACAAGAGTCTAGAGAAAGATTTATTGTGCAGTACTTTAAGTTTAATGTATTTTTTTTATAAAGATAGATATCGAAGAAATAAAAAAGTGTATTGAGATGAAGAAAATGTAATTGTTGAGAGAAATTTGTATAAATCATGATATTATGTAATTTGACTTTATTTTTATGAGACAAGGACAAATATTAAGTCTTTCTAGAAGTGATAAAACGGTTTAACTATATTTAGCACTTGGAACAAGATGATATGGCTGATTTTTCTCTTCTAAATCATTATTTAAATTACAAAATAGTAGTTCATTCAAAATGAATGTCTCTTATTTTTCAAAAGATGAAAAAACAAACCCTCCACATACAATGGAAATTGTACCCCCACATCTTAAAAAGAATTGTACTAATTGATTTCTTTGACATTGGATAAAGATTTGTAATACATGTCAGTAATCTTACTGCAAGCTGGGTTGTAAGGAAGAACTAAAACCTGATCTTTTTATTAGATTATTGCTAACATAATTGCAAACAAAATTGCAAACAAATTGCTTTTCATAAAGAATAATGAAACTTTTTGATTCTTGCCAGTTTCTTGTCCAAGTTTGGTGACATGTGGTATTTTTAAATTTTATTCTGCTTTTAGAAAAACACTATTTCAAAGATGTTGAAAAGCAAAATCTTAAATGTTGTAGGCTATTGAAGTGAAATCCTTGTTTTGTTTATCATTTGGCAAGATAAAAAAACTTTTAAAATAAGGAAAAATATTGTACGAGACATCGATGTAGAGTTTACTTTTTTGCTGATATTTTGTGAGAATTAATATTGTATGTACATAATTTTTTTACTGAGATTTTTACAATTTTAACATTTCCATCTTTCAAATTTTACTTGTGCAGGGTGCATTTTACATGACTTTGGATTTGTATTGAAACTTTGTAGGATTCTGAACCAAGATTTGTATTTTCCTATGTAAGGTCTGAAGTGTATATCATAGAAATATTTTAAAAATCTAAATCAAGTGATCTTATATTTTGATAAACCAGGTGAAAACAAATTCTGAGTATCAAGTAAAGAAATGTAAAACAAATTGTAAAACACCATTTATTTTTTAAGTAAAAAAAGATGAAACACTTGCTTCTGTTTTTGTATTATCTATATAAAAAAAAACAGTTCATTTTAGGAGAGAAGGAGTTAATTGATTTATTTATTATTTGTAAACTTTTTTCAAAACAGTTTACATAATTCTAAAAAGTCTGAATTTATTTTTGAATTTAATTTTGAGCTGTATAGGCACTCACTATGCATGCTCTAAAATATTAGTTTATGTATTAAGTTTTGAATTCTGAAATATTTGTGAATTTTATGTTATGTACAATTTATTTTGGATGTATTAGTTGCATGCTTCTGAAGGCTGCAGATGTTTAGAGATTTGAGAAGAAAGTTGTTCCAAAACGGAATTAAATATTTGAGAGTATGTAATTTGTATAAGAAAGGTTTATACCAACGCAGAAAGTTATAATTCTAAGTTTGGCAGCTCTTTGAAAATTTGCATTTTTTAATAATTTTTTAAATTAAACTTAGAGATTGTATTAAATCTCTATCATTGTCGGTGCCTGCGTTTTGACCAAATTGGCATCGATATGCCTTGCTGTGTATATTAAGTTACACTGCCTTGAAGATAAACAGTATTAATGCATATAATCATTTTGTATTCTTCATATACTAATTTCATGCAACATTCCCTATTCATCTAACAAATCTAATGTGATATGAGTAGACCCTTCCCCCTCATTCTTGAGTACATCCCCATACATGCGTCTTTATGTTTGTAAATATTTGAAGCAAAAGTGATCTGTATATATAGTTTGCAGTTTATTTTATTCATTGTGTATAGAACTTGTTTTTAGTATATTTTTGACGGGTCTAGCTGGAATAAGATTTTAGTTTTGCTTGTACAAATGAATGCATATTTGAAAATACAGATTTGATGTATACTTCGTTACAAGTTATATGAATATATATATATTTCTTTGCAGCAATTAGGTTGACAATTTTAGTTGTTGCATGTACATATGCTCAGATAGAATATTTTATTTGCAGAGACCAGGAAAACGAACCCGACCTGGGAATGTTTGACAGAGATTGATATTTGTGGAAATATTATTTTGTCAAATGGTGAACTTTTCGTGAAATTAAGCAATATTGTTTCTAATGTTTGCAAGTTCCCCATTTGTGAATATGAACATCAGTTTCGTTTCATATTATTAAAGGATGATCTTTTCCAAGAAAGAATAATTTATTAATGTTATGAAAAACCAACCCCTTAGCAAAAAATGCTATGGTTTTCGATCAAATTGAAGATGATTTGAAGTTTAAACTAATTTTAATTGAACAGTATTTTTGGCCTTATGCTTTTTGTACAATGAATGATGAAGTTTTGATCATCAGTAAATACTCTTTTGGCCCACTTCCAACAAGGAAGAAGGTACTTCTTGTAATACCTTGGCATCTTGATAAATTTGTGAAAAATAACCAAGCCCTTTGAAATACACACAGCCTTATAATAAATGATTTAAGCATGTAAAATGATTAGGAAAGTCATGTAATACCTTGGCATCTTATTAAATTTGTGAAAAATAACCAAGCCCTTTGAAGTACACACAGCCTTATGATAAATGATTTAAGCATGTACATCGATTAGGGAAGTCATGATTTGGTTGAATTGCGTGTAAACACTTGCTTTTCCGTCAATCACATGATTTTTATCTCCCCTTTCCTGCGCCCCCATCCCGATCTTTGAAAAACATGTTGTCATTCACGATCATAGCCAATGAGATCATCTGGTTTGAGGCTTCAGAAAAGTGGAGATGGGGATATAATAATTCTGACACTCTGTCGACAAAACAGAAGCTACTTTAAGGGGCCTTTTTCCATTGCTAAACTTTTTATATATTGTGGATGTTGTGTTTTATAGTAAACCAAGCCACAGAGCATTTGGTACACGTATACCACCTTTTCCTTTCAGTTTAAAAGTAATTCACAGTTTTAAGACCACTTTGCATGTCTTATTTCTCTTTGGGGAATGTGAACTTAATAGTGATCAAGTAAGCATTTTTTTTAAGAAAAAGAAAGTTCTGTGATGCATCCTAAATATGTTTCTTTTTTATCCAAACCGTCCTGGCTGAATTGTCAAGCAATGTAAAGCATGCCATTTTGCATAATGAGGCATATACAGTGAAACCTGTCTATAAAAACCACCCAAGGGAGACAAGAAAAGTGGTCGTTACAGGCACGTGGTCTTTATGTACAGGTGCCTATATTTCATGTTTCAATGAGAAACCATTGTCAAGGGAAACAAAAAATGTGGT